TGCGCATTCGTTGCCGGGGCCCAATCGCCGATGCATCGGTGATGTATCGCCGATTCGGGGCCGATGCGCTTCGTCCCCTCTGAGCCGATTCCATCCTCCTGGCCCATCCCCCCTTGAATGCCCCCTGGCGCGGAGCATGCCCAGGCACCGTGCTGCCCCCCGCAGGGCTCATTTCGACTCTTTCGATTCCATTCGATTCGATTTCGATGGCTTCCGATTCCGATTCGATTCGACTTGGGATTCCGATTTGGGTCCCGATTTCTTATTGGAGGCATGCTAGCCTGCCGATTTCCGCCGATTCGACTTTTCCCAACTCGGCTGCCGATTTCCGCCGATCCGATTCATTTCCATCGCCGATCCAACTTATCGAGTCGATTCTGGGCTATTCTGCCCCCGAGCCGTCCGTAGCCGCCGAGGCTCGAATCGAGAAGTCATTCGGCATGCTCTAGAGCCAGGCCGAGGAAACGACTGCACAATCACGGGTCTCATCGAGCTGATCCCCCTTATGACGTTGCTCCTCTCGAAGGACAACAGAAAGGCATGTATACATAACTTTCGGGGCTCCGCGCGGATTTATTGGATCGGCGCTGGGCTCCCCCTGTGATGGTGCCCCCGGCGCCGCCACCGACGCGCTCCGCGCGCCAGAGAGGGGGTTCAGCGCCGATCCAAGAAGTCCGCGCGGACCTCCAAAAGTCTATATTTGTTCATGCCATGTTTTGCTCCCCTTCCACCTACTGCGCTCTGGCCCTGCGCGCCTGGCTGCTGCTGCCGCCCGCCGGCTGCTCATCGTCGAATCCTTCGGCGTCTTCGCGTCCCTCCTTCTTCTCGGCCTCCCCCCTCCATCCTTGCACGCCGGCCAATTCGCTAGTTAGTGCCCCCCCTAGTTGTTGCGCTGGTGCGGGTTTCGCCGCCTCGCCGCTGACGAACAAGTTTTGCTCCCCTGCACCCGTGGGAAGCTCGGCCCTCTGACGGCCCCCTGACGGCCCCCTGACGGCCCCCGACGGCCCCGGCCGTGGTGGCCCGCGGCCCTCGGCGGCCCCCAGGCGGGGGGGGCCTCTGCCCGCGGCAGGCCGCGGGCGGGCGGGCAGCTGCCCTCGGCGGCCTTCGGCTGCCCTCGACGGCCTGGGCTGCAGCGTGGAAGTCGTCGTCGTCATCGTCGTCGTCGTCGTCGGTGTCGTCGTCGTCGTCGTCGCGGTCGTGGTCGTAGTCGTGGTCTTGATCGTGGTGGTGATCGTCGTCGTCGTCGTCGTCGTCGTCGTCGTCGTCGTCGTCGTCGTCGTCGTCGTCGTCGTGGTCGTCGTCGTGGTGGTGGTGGTGGTGGTGGGGGTTAGTGGTGGTGGTCGTCGTCGTCGTCGTCATCCTCGGTCCTCCTCCTTGCTCCCCCTCCTTGCTTTCTGCCCACCTCCCTCCCTCCCTTCCTCCCTCCCTCCCTCCCTTCCTTCTGCTGCCTCTCCCCGACAATTTCGGTTCCCGTCCTCCTCCCAGGAGATGGAATGGATGGATTCAGAGTTTTTTGCCTTTCTGGACCTCTGGGCCTTCGTCGACACAGCTGGAGTCGCCCAGGTGAAAGATCTGGGGGTCTTCGCCCGCGGTCGTTTTCGCCGCGATCGTACGAGCCGCGGTCGTGTCCGCTCGCCCGACATGCCCGTTTAGGCCTGCCCGTTCGCTTGCTTGCAAGCCCGTGGGGCCCCGCCTGCCCCCCGCCCGTTATGGAACCCGCTCGACCCGCTCGTCATGGTCAGCGCGCTCGACCCGTGTTTTTTCGTGGCGCAAGGATGTCAGAGCCCAGGGGCCAGAAGTCGATCCCCAGACCTGTGCCTGTGCGCGCTGTGGCCAGAAGCTCAAGGGCTGTCCAGCCGTGGCGACGAGAGCGCCCCGGGGAGCCCGAGAGCGTTGCCACATATTGCCCCAGACAACAGCCTCTCGCCGTGACTTTTCCCCGCCGTCAGGGTGCCAGGGGCTGTCCAGCCGTGGCGACGAGAGCGCCCCGGGAAACCCGAGAATGTTGCCACAGACTGCCCCAGACAACAGCCTCTCGCCGTGACTTTTCCCCAGCGTCAGGACATCAGGGGCTGTCCAGCCGAGGCGACGAAAGCGCCCCCGGAAGCCCGAGAACGTTGCCACAGACTGCCCCAGACAACAGCCTCCCGCCGTGCCTTCTCCACGGCGTCAGGGTGCCAGGGGCTGTGCAGCAGACCTCTCCCTGCCACCCGCGAGAAGGCGCTGCCCCGGCGCCTCCGCCCCTGGGGGTGCCCCCCCTCCCCGCTGGAAGGCACAGGGCCCACGTGCTCCTCCTCCTCCTCCTCCTCCTCCTCCTCCTCCTCCCTCCTCCTCCTCCTCCTCCTCCTCCTCCTCTCCTCCTCCCCTCCTCCTCCCCTCCCCCTCCTCCTCCTCCTCCTCCTCCTCCTCCTCCTCCTCCTCCTCCTCCTCCTCCTCCTCTCTCCTTCCCTCCTCCTCCTCCTCCTCCTCCTCCTCCTCCTCCCCCCCGAGAAGAGCCCCAGCAGCGTAACGCACGGCTGCCGGTGGGGCGTCCCGGCCTTGGGGCCGCCGCCCGGTGCGGAGAGGCGCGGCCTCTCGGGACCTGCCCGCACCCCCCCCGCAGGCTGGCGCGCGGAGCGCGAGGCCCCGCAGCTGCCGCCGCCGGCGCGCGGCGCCGGCCTGCGGATGGAGGTGCGGGGCGGCCGCTGGCACCCAGAGGCCGGGCGGCGCCGCTCGGCTCGGGCGCTGTGCACTGGGGCTTCCTCGCCCTCCTCTCCTTGTGCTCCGCCTCCTCCTCCTCTTCCTCCTCCTCCTCCTCCTCCTTTTCCTCCTCCTTCGCCTTTTCCTCCTCCTCCTCCTCCTCCTCCTCCTACCCCCTTCTTCTCCCTCCCTTCTCCCCTCCCTTCTTCTGCTCCTCCTCCTCCTCCTCCTCCTCCTCATCATCATCCTCATCCTCTCTTCTCCCTCCCTTTATCCTTCCCTTCTTTCTGGGGCGGCCTAACCGACCCTTAGCAAACTGTCCCATTCCGCGATGTCCCCCTCACCTCGCCCCTGTGAATGCGGCTGGAGGGGAGCTCGAAAGGCGATGATGACGTCACGGAAGAGGATGGTTTGCTAGGGGTCGGTCAGGCAGAGCCCGAGGAGGGTGGTCGGGGGGCGGGGCTGGGACGAGGAAATATCCGTTCCAGAGCGTTCCAGAGCGCTCTCGGAGCGTTCCGGAACGCTCCGAGAAGGCCGCGGCGCCCGAGGCATCCTCCAGAGCCGCTGGACCTCAGAGATTCCCGATGTATCCTCACATCATTCTCGTCCTGGCCTCGTCTCGGCGGGGGTCGGGGGTGTCGGACACGCTCGCAAGGGTGCGCTGGGCTGCAGACGCCTCCAAGTCCGAGGCCCAGGCTGCCCCTGGCACCCGGAGGAAAGAGGGAGCCGTGCGGTGCGGGCTCGCGGCGTGTCCACGCGGGCTGGCGGCCCCGCGGAGCTCGAGGAGGTTCTTGTAATGGCCTCCGGCCAGTGCCGCCGATCCGGGGGGCTCCAGATTCGGTGATCTTCGCGGCTCTGTGGCCTCCTCCCTTCTCGATTCCTCCGGTCCTCTTTCTTCTCCCTAGTTCCGAGGGGAGGGTCCTGGGGGCGGTAGCGGCTAGATCTGAAGGGGGTCCCTGCGGAGCTCGGGCCTTTGGAGGCCAGTCTCGCGCCCCGAGGCGTGAAGCGTCGGCCCGGCGCGAGGGTTGCCCAGGACGGGCCTTGGGAGAGGTCCAGGGACCGACCACAGCGATGTCTAGTTAGGTTTGGGCCCTCGTTTTGTTTTTCCTTTTGTTTTTTTTCCGTTGTGCTTCCGTTGTGTTGTTCGTTCTTGTTTTGAACGCGCGTTTCGTTGTCCGTTTTGCTTCGCCGCGATTCCACGGTTGCGTGAAAGTCCCTCGCGCCCCGAAGCGTGGAAAAAGGTGGCCGGGCACGAAAGTTGCCCAGGTCCGGGGATCGGTTTTGAGCGGATTCGGTGGCTTCGTGCCGTGCCGCCGCGGCGGCGCTCCTGTCGCTGGCGCTCGAGGCTGAACGCCGCTGGTTGCTCGGTGTCGGCCGACATCGAGCCGCCCGCACTGTCGGGGCCTGCGGTCGTCCAAGGCTGGAACGATCCGCGCGGTGTCAGAGACCAGCGCCCGGGTCGTCAGGGCACGAAGCCGCCGTATGCCAGAGTAGGGGTGCCCTCACTTCTCCTCCCTCACTCCCTCCTCCCCCTCCCTTTCTCCCCCCCCTTCCTTCCTTCTCCTCCCTCCCTTCTTCTCCCTCCCTTCTCCCACTCCCTTTTCCTCCTCCTCCTCCCTCCTCCCTCCCTTTCTCCCCGTCCCTTCTCTCAGGACGTCCCCCTCGCCTCGCCCCAAGACCTAGGTATGCGGCTGGAGGGAAGCTCGCAAGGCGAGGATGACGTCACGGAAGGGGATGGTTTGCTAGGGGTCGGTTAGGCCGCGCCCGATTCTCCCCCTCCCTTCTCCCTCCCCCCCCTCTTCCGAGCAGCGCCCGAACGGCACGGGGAGTCCTGGGCCCCCTCGGGCCGCCGCCCGCCCCCACGGGTTTCCGACGATTTGATTTGTCAACGACGTCGGCCCCCAGAGATTTGGACCGCTTCCCCGGGGCCGGTTCTTTGTCCCGAGCCGTTTTTTGCTGGTCCCAGGGCCCAGCGAGCGCCCCCGGAGGCCGAAACAGCGACGAATTTTCCGTCGTTACTTTTCACAACGCGAGGAGGAGGAGGAGGAGGAGGAGGAGAAAGAGGAGGAGGAGAGGGAGGAGGAGGAGGAGGAGGAGGAGGAGGAGGAGGAGGAGAAGGAGAAGGAGGAACCTCGACGAGGATGATGATGATGATGAGGAGGAGGAGGAGGAGGAACCTCGACGAGGATGAGGAGGATGAGGAGGATGAGGAGGAGGAGGAGGAGGAGGAGGAATAATAATAAGACTAATAAGACGAATAATACGGCTAATGCGACTAATAATAATAAGAATAGTACGAAGAAGACGAATACGAATACTACTAATAATAAGAAGACTAATGTTAATAAGAAGAATAATACTAATCGGAACCATAATCATAATATCAAGAATACATAAGAATAGTAATAATATCAACACGATGAATAAGAATCATAATACTACAACGAATAATACTAATACGACTAATAAGGCTAATACGAATAATACCAATAACACCAATACTAAGAACAATCATAAGATTCATGATACTAAGAATAATAATACGAATAACACTAAGACGACTAAGAAGAACAACACCAGCACGAATAATACTACTAATACTAATACTACGAATTCTAGTAATAATATGACGAAGAATAAGAAGGAAACTAACACTACTACAACTAATAATAATACTAATAATAATAAGATGAAGTCGACGAACAATAATAATACTAGTGTTACGAATACTAATACTAATAATAACAACGATACTAACAATAATCATACTAATAATAATACTGTTAATAATAATAGTAATAATAACACTAAAAATACGAATACTAATAAGACGAACAATAATACTACTAGTAAGAATACGAGTAATAATACTACGAAGAAGAACATGAATACTATTAACAAGACAGGTAGTAATAATACTAATAAGACTACTAATAAAACGACTAATAATACTAATACTACTAAAAATACGAGGAAAATAATACGAATACTAGTAATACTAAGAATGTTACGAACACGAATACTACTACTAATACTACTCAGAAGAAGAAACTAGTAATACAAAGACTGTGAAACACAATACTAATAATAGTAATGATAGTACTAGTCGTAATGATAATAATAACACTAGTAATACTAATGGGAATAACAAATAATAGTACGAATAATAATAACCATAACACTAAGCATACTACGAATAACCTAATACGAATACTACCAATAATCATACTAATAATAAAGAATAAGAATCATACTACGAAGAAGAATCCTACTAAGAAGAAGAGAAGGAGGAGGAGGAGGAGGAGGAGGAGGAGGAGGAGGAGGAGGAGGAGGAGGAGGAGGAAGGCGGAGGAGGAGGAGGAGGAGGTAGGAGGATGAGGAGGAGGAGGAGGAGGAGGAGGAGTAGGAGGAGGAGGAGGAGGAGAGGAGGAGGAGGAGGAGGAGGAGGAGGAGGAGGAGGAGGAGGAGGAGGAGGAGGAGGAGGAGGAGGAGGAGAGAGGAGGAGGAGGAGGAGGAAGGAGAGGAGGAGGGAGGAGGAGGAGGGAGGGAGGGAGGAGGAGGAGGAGGAGGAGTGAGGAGGAGGAGGAGGAGGAGGAGGATGAGGAGGAAGGAAGGAGAGAGGAGGAGGAGGAGGAGGAGGAGGAGTGAGGAGAGGAGGAGGAGGAGGAGGAGGAGGGGAGAGGAGGAGGAGGAGAGGTGGGAGAGAGGAGGAGGAGGAGGGAGGAGGAGGAGAGGAGGAGAGGAGGAGAGGAGGAGGAGGAGGGAGGAGGAGGAGGAGAGGAGGAGGAGGAGGAGGAGGAGAGGAGGAGGAAGGGGGAGGAGAGGAGGAGGAGGAGGGAGGAGGAGGGAGGCGGAGGCGGAGGGGAGGAGGAGGAGGAGGAGAGGAGGAGGAAGGAGGCGAGGAGGAGGAGGAGGAGGAGGGGGGACGATGACGAGGACGAGGACGAGGACGAGGGACGAGGACGAGGACGACGAGGAGGAGGAGAGGGGAGGAGGAGAAGGGAGGAGGGGGAGGAGGTGGCTGTGGCGGAAGAGAAGCAAGAGGAGGAGGAGGAAGCTGGAGGAGGAGGAGGAGGAGGAGGGAGGAGGAGGGAGGAGGAAGAGGAGGAAGGGAGAAGGAGGGAGGGAGGGAAGGGGAGGGAGGACGAGGATGAGGACGAGGACGAGCAAGAAGAAGAGGAGGAGAGGAGGGCGGAGGAGATGAGGAGAGGGGGAGGGGGAGGGGAGGGGGAGGGGGAGGAGGTGAAGGTGGCGGAGGAGGGGGAGCAGGATGAGGAGGAGGAGCCGGAGGAGGAGGAGGAGGACCATGAGGAGGAGGAGGAGGGGGAGGAGGAGGAGGAGGAGGAGGGGAAAGGGCCCCTGGCCCCCCCACCCCCCGCAGGAGCAGGCGGCGGGTGGCGGGTGGCGGCCCGGGCCGCCGGACGACGGGGAGCCGCCAGGCTGGAGGCCTGGGGCGCGGGGCGGCGGCTGGCAGCTGGAGACGGCAGGCGCCCCGCCCTGGCGGGGGAGCCGGCCCCTGAGTCGATGGGCGGCGAAGTCCAAGAGAGTGTCTTTTAGATTGCTTGGGGCATGGCGGGCGTCATGCCCCCCCCCCCTATGACGTAACGCTCCCCCCCCAGTGCGCTCCGGGCATTGCCGCCGTGCGCATCGGGATCTGCTTAGGTGTCCGCATAGGAATCCACAGGAGTCTGGTCCGCAGTCGTTGTCGTCTTCGTCGTCGTTGTCGTCGTCGACGTCGTCGCTCGTCGCTCGTCGCTCGTCGCTGATCGTCGTCGTGCGCGCGGACGCGGCTGGAGCCATTTTTGGGGTTTTTGACAAAGAAATTCTGGGCCGGGGGGTGGGGGTGGACGGGGCCGATGACGTCACGTTTCGCGCCGCCGGCGTCTGGGAATGCCCAGGAATTGCCGAGGACGGGTAAGAGCAGCATGTAGGTGGCGATCTGCACCGCAGCGCTTGTGTACACCACACTGCCTGTGTGCACTCCAGCGCGGTTGTACACCACGCCGCGTATGTACACCACAGCAGCCGCGTGTAACACAGCGCCAGTGTGTGCCACTTTGTCTGCGGGCACCACGGCGCCTGTGTACACCACAGCGCTTGCGTACAGTACAGCAGCCGTGTGCAACACAGCACCAGTGTACACCACAATGTTTGCGTGCACTACAGCGACTGTGTACACCACGGCGCCTGTGCGCACCACAGCAACCGTGTGCAACAGAGCACCACTGTTGCATATATATGTATACAGATTTTAAAAAGTCCTTACGACAGATTGGAGCGCTTGTGGGCTCCACAGTTAGTGGACCCGGAATGGAATCCTTCTGGACAAAAGAGTGCCGCTGGAATCTACGACTCCTCCCGAGTGCGCCCGCATCATCCTAACTCCTCCCATCTGCGTCCAGGAGGCTCCAGCAAATTTGGCCGTCCGGAAACCAGGTGGATTGATTCAATCGACCATTCTGCGGTGCGCGCTGAGATGTGCACGTGCGCTGTAACGCCGACCCGCACGACAGGGGGAAAAGGTAAGGGAGGAGGAAGAGGAGGAGGAGGACGAGGAGGAGGAGGAGGAGGAGGAGGAGACGGAGGATGAGGAGGAGGAGGAGGAGGGGGAGGAGGAGGAGGAGGAGGAGGAGGAGGAGGAGGAGGTGGCGGAGGACGGGGCGGGAATAACGTCGCGTTGTATTATCAGATGTTCCCTGGCGTGGCGTGTAGCTGTCCTCAGCAGATCCTCACCTACATGCTCCTTCTACTTGTTTTGTGCGCGCAAGCGCTGTGGTGTGCACTAGCGCTGCGTTGCACGCGGATGCTGTAGTGTAGACAGGCGCTGTGGTGTGCACATGCGCTGCGGTACACGCCAACATAATGGTGTACAAAAGCGCTGCGTTGCCCGCGGCTGTTGCGGTGTACGCAAACACTGTGGTGTACACTTGCGCTGTTGTGCACGCGTGCGCTGTGTTGTACACAAGCGCAGCATTGCACACGGCTGTTGCGGTGTACGCGGACGCTGTGGTGTATACGCGCGCTGTGGTGCACGCGAGCATTGTGGTGTACACAGGCGCTCAGGGGCAGATCGCCACCTAGCTCGCGTCGTCGTCGTCGTCGCTCGTCGCTCGTCGTTTGTCGCTCATCGTGGTCGTGCGCGCGGGCGCGGTTGTGGTACTGGAGCCACATGGCGGGAGAGGGGCGTTACGTCATACCCCCCCCGCCCCCCCCCTGACGCCCGTCATCGCCGAAAATTGAAACGCTCTCCAAGTCGATGGGCGGCGGCTCGAGGTTGGAACCTCGAGCGTCGAGGGTCGGGGTTCGAGTTTTTTTGGCCTGCGGGGGCCCTCCTCGTCGCCGCGGCTGGACACATCTCGAACAACTGGTGCGTTTGGGCTTTGGCAGGGTTCTGGGGATCCAATTTGAGTGGGATGTGAAGCGACCCTCGCCTACTATTCAAAATTCAGGCAACTCGATGGGCGACAGAGGTAGGGTTCGGAATTCGTCGAACACGTGGCGACCTCCCATCGGTTCAGGATAACCGATGGTTGGTGGGGGTAGGGCTTTCGGTTGTCGCCACCCACCATCGCCCCTCGCGCCGCGGAGAAGGAGCCAGATCTTTTCCAGGAGGGGAACGCAGAAATAGCACCAGGGCCTTGGCGCCCAGATTCCGGTCGGGGTGCTAGGCGGTCCAGACAGGCCTGCAGGTTTGGAGGGCGCCCTCTCGGAGGTCAGGGACGCACGGCGGGAGGTTTCGGCAGTGCTCGGCGGCGCCTCGCCCTGGCGGGCAGGCCGGCCCCTGGCCCCCCTCGCGCCGCGGGCGCAGCGCGGCGGGGGGGCTTTGGCAACGCTCGGCGTCCGGGGGGCCCTCCCTGGGCCTGGGGGGCCGTCAGCGAACGACTCGGGATGCATCGGCGGAGGTCAAGTCCACACGGAGGAAGTCCACACTTCGAGGCAGGGGCTCATGCGTAACAGCCGTCGGGAGGATCGATGTTCGCGGACTTCCACAGGCGGTGAGCGTGCACACATGTTGGCCCGCGGGGCCCAAAACATATCCATAGCCACGGCCCGCTGGGTCCCCAGGACGTCGGTTCCCAGGCGGCGGATATAGATAAATTCCCGCCTCGCACATAGGGAGTGCTTCGTCTCCGTTTGGACTTACTCCGTCTGGGCTTGGCCTCTCCCGGTAGGAGGCTGAGTGCATACGGAATGAGTCCATGCGGAGTGCTCGATCTCCTTATGGACTTACTCCGTGTGGACTTGGCCTCTCCTGAAAGGAGGCTAAGTGCATACGGAGTATGTCCAGACGGTGGGACGACGAAATGTTGCAAGTTGTTCCTGGCCGTGCACGGCTGCGCCTACATTGCGACGCCACCTCGACGAAACGCCCCCGCCCCCTACATTTCAATGTTGGCATCGAGCGAACACCCCAGGTCCAGGATTACAAAATAATGCAAGTCAACAATGAAATACGGGGTCAGGGGGAGGTCCTCGGAGATCGATGGAATATGATCAAAGTTGACACGCTGTTTCTCGGAACGATCATATAACTTGCGATATTTTGTCCGCCCACTGTACGGAGTGCTCCGTTTTCATTTGGACTTGCTCCGTCTGCATTTGGCCTCTCTTGATCGGAGGCTCAGTGCATGCGGAGTAAGTCCATGCGGAGTGCTCCGTCTCCGTCTGGACTTGCTCCGTCTGGACTTAGCCTCTCCTGTATGGAAAGCCAGTACCCGGGAAGGGGTTCAGACCTCTGGGGAGCCACGCGGAGTGCCGCGCTGCTGGGCGGCCCTCTTGGAGGACTGGGTCTCGTTCAGGCCAACCCGAGCCCCTCGAACCCGAGTTTTACGTCTCCCCGATCTTTGGACCGTGATCGGGCCCTCGGGATCATCATACGCGGATTCAGGACGAACAACTGCCCCGGAGGAAGCGGTCGGGTCCTTTTGGGTCCGCGCTGTGAAACAAAACACGTCGTCGGATGCCTGCGAGGCGGAGCTTGAGCGCGCGGACGATCGCACGTCGGCGATCGCCACGCCGGCGATCGCACGCCGCCGAGGCGCCAATGGAACGCCGCGGCGATCGCCGCCGATAGCGCGCCCTGGCGACCGCGCACCCGGCCCTCCCGTGTTTTTTTTTTTTTTTTTTTTTTTTTTTTTTTTTTTTTTTTTTTTTTTTTTTTTTTCTCCTCCCGGGAGCTGGAACATATACATTGCCAGTGGCGGGCGGTCTTTCAATCCCAGGACTTCCTTGAGGGTCGGGGACGACGTCGGGGTGGTGTGGTGTATATTGAATCGCTTCGCTCATTCCGCCGGCCCGTATTGTGCCATCGCGGGCGTTTGCTTGCGCGGTCGAGAGCCAGGCGGCGCTGGTGGGCCGTGGTCGTTTTCCAGAGGCGTTGCGGCAGAACGCATGGGGATGAAACAGTTTGTTTGGAGCTTGTTGTGGGGGCTTCGGCCTCTACTGTCTTACGAGGTGGCTATCTAGTAGTTTTCGGCCCATCCCGCCACCGTGCCTGGGTTGTAGGTCAGAGGCCTCTTGGATGTTCGTTGAGATATCGTGGCAGGCCTTTCGAAGGTTTCTTTGGAGGCAGTTTTGACGGCTCTTGGGGGCCGTCGGGGGGCTTCTTGGGGCTTCTGTTTAGGCCTCTTGGGGTCTCTTGCAGGCCTCTTGGGGCCTCATGGGGGCTGCCTGGGGCGGAAGTCTCGAAGTGTCGGTTCGTGTTCCCTCTCTTGGGTCCCTCTTGGGGCCCTCTTGTGGCTCTCTTGGGCCGTTCGGGCGTCTCGTGGGCCGTTCTGTTGCTGCTGCTGCTGCTGCTGCTCCTCCTCCTCCTCCTGCTCCTCCTCCTCCTCCTCCTCGGAGCTTCGCAGGGATTCCCGTATGTTGTCGGGGTTCCTGAGGGTTCGCCCGGGGTCCGTCCCACCCCACTTTGGGAGGAAATATGAGGAGGAAGAGGAGAAAATGGAGGAGAGGGAGGTGGGGCAGGGATATGAGGGAGGGAGGGACGGATAGCAGGATGAGGAGGGCGACCACTTCGAGGAGGATGGGGCCAGTCGTGCATGACATCCCATATCATTCACGCTGCCGAATGCATACGCATGTGGGCCGTTTGGGGATCGGTGATGTATGTGCGGTCTTTCCATTATTCATATTGTTGGTTGTGTTTACAGAAGCACGCAACCGACAACCTCTCATAATTCACGCTGACCTCCAGAGCCCCCCCACACATTTCCAGGACCATCCCAAGCTCATCCTCATCCAATCGAAATTGGATGAACACGCAGTGAAGGATCCAACGGTGACGGACGCGAGAAAAACTGAGTGTCGGGGATCTGGGGAGGGGGCATCTCGGAGAGCTCATGGATGCTTCTGGGAGTCTCTTCTGGGAACATCAAGGAGCTTCTCAGGAGGAGTACTTGTGACCTTCTTGGGAGCCCTTGGAGGCTTCCGGGGAGCTTCTTGGGAGCTCTTGGAGGCCTCGTGGGGTCTTGGGAGCCCTTGGAAGCTTCGCGGGAACTTCTTGGGAACTTTGGGAGGCCTCGTGGATGGCCCTGGGTGGGCACCCCTGGTGGTCTCGGGGGGGTCTGCCTGGCCTCTTGGGGGCCTCCTGGGAGCTTCCTGGGGGTCTCTTGGGGGCCTCTTGGGGCTTTCTTGCGGCCTGTTGGGGGCCTCTTGGGGCTCTCTTGGGGGCTTCGTGGAGCTACTTGGGGGCTTGTAGGGGCCTTTCGGGGGTGTGTTTGGGCGGGGGGCTCAACATTTCCGTTCAGGTTGCCCCTGTGGACCTCAATCATGGGGCCGTCTTGGGGCCTCTTGGACCGTCTTGAAGGTTTCTTGGGCCTTCT